CTCTGTGTAGCTTTGCGCCTTTCCTGGAACTCACTTTGTAGAACAGGCTGGCCTCGAACTCACAGAGATCTGCCTGCCTCTGCCTCCCAAGTGCTGGAATTAAAGGCATGCACCACCACCGCCCGGCTCTGATTTGGGGTTTTCAAGACAAGTTTTTTACTTTGAAGTTCAGGCTGGCATTGAGCTTGCTGCAATTCTCCTGCTCAGCCTTCCAAGTGCAAGGATTACACCCTTGACCACCACAGCTGACCTACTGTTCAGTTTTTAAATGTTTAGCACAGGACCCGGTCCCACTGCCTAGATGCCTCCCAAACAGATCAAGCCAATCAACTGTCTCACCTATTCAGAGGGCCTGATCCAGTTGGGGGCCCCACAGCCATTGGTTATTAGTTCATGTGTTTCCATTCGTTTGGCTATTTGTCCCTTGTATTTGTGTCCTTGCCAATGCATCGAATGGCTGTGGGGTTGGGACTTTCTACTGTTATATCAGGAAATAATCAGCTATACCATGTGCCTTGACTTTTCTGAAAGTTGCCCCATTTTGAAACATTTCGTATGCATTGGCATATCCCACAGAACCATGTTATTGTTCATATCAAACGGATATTTCACATTGTCCTTATTGGCAAGATACCTAAAACTATCCCTTAGAAAATGAGTTTCTTCTTACTCAACAGGTGCTTCTAAAGAAGGCGGGGCTGGAGCGGTTGATGAGGATGACTTTATAAAAGCTTTTACAGATGTCCCTTCTGTTCAGGTAAGGCCCTCAGTGTCCCCAGGAGACTCTCTGCCTCCTTCTGTCCTGTCTTTTGTCCTTTTAAAAAATGGTTATTTGGGGGTAAGCTAAAAGGCTCAGGGTCAAGCACTTCGCAGTGCAAGCCTGACAAGCTGAGTTTAGCTCTGAATCCCACATAGAAGTGGAGGGAGAAAAGCAGCTCCAGGGTTGTCTCCTGACCTCCCCACATGTGCATATCCCACACAAGAAGAAGAGGAAGTTTCATGCCGGGCAGTGGTGGCGCACGCCTTTAATTCCAGCACTCAGGAGGCAGAGCCAGGTGGATCTCTGAGTTCGAGGCCAGCTTGGTCTCCAGGGAAGGCGCAAAGCTACACAGAGAAACCCCATTTCGAAAAACCAAAAAAAAAAAAAAAATTGGTGAAGCAAAAGTGAACTCATCTATGTTTTCCCTCCAAATCCAACTTTCAGTTGTAAAACAAAAAAAAAAAAAAAAAAAAAAAAGAAGAAGAAGAAGAAAAGGAAGTTTTAAATGCCTAAAAAAAGTTTTCCCGTAAATGAATGTATGGATGATGTATTTATTAGACATTATCAAACCACTAATTATTGTCATAATTAGATTTTCAAATTAGTTTTTCAGTAAAGCTTAAATAAAATTAAACCTATGACTTAGTCATATTACATTGCAGTGTCAGACATAAAGTTAATATTTTTTGAAATAATTAGTTTTGACCCCAGAGAGTGTTGGAGGCTGACAAATAGAAATCTGAAAATCCTTTCCCTGGGAGTTACTAAAGGAGTCAAAGTGGACATATCTACAAGTAAGGCAGTCATTTTATATCTAATAATGAAGTAAACACTACAGTGTATGTAACATTTCCACAGATTACATTACCGTGTACCTCAGTATTGTTTGGTATATTTTTTCACAGTTTGTAATTCTGTTCCTTCAGATATTTATCGTATGAGTAGTGTGTCTTTTCTGTTGATGACATTCAGTTTGTTTCCAGGTTTTTGATGTTATTTATTTGTAAGGTGTTTTTGTTTGTTTGCTTGTTTTGTTGTTGTTGTTGTTGTGTGTGTGTGTGTGTGTGTGTGTGTGTGTGTGTGTTGTTTTTAATAAGATCTCATGTATTCCAGTCTGGTCTTTAATTCCTGATCCTTCTGCCTCCAACTTTAGGGTGTAGTTTGTATGGAATTGTATAGCCACAGTCCTCTTGTCTCACTAGATTTTGCTGTAAAGGATATAATATAATAATCCACTCCTGAGAGAGGTATGATTAGGTAACTCATTTTCAAGAGTCCTCCACTGTTGGAAAATGATTCTCCCCTATAAAAAGATCTTTTATATCTCCTTCTTCTAGTGTCCTTACAGAGGGGGCGGGGGTGTGGGAGGGAGAGTCAGAGAAAGAAAAGTGACAGGACCAGTTTCTTCACATTCTGCCTGCACTTCCTGTCACTCAGAGTGCTTCTTTGAACCATGGATGTCCCTCCTGAGTGTTGTCTTGAAAAGGTCCAGGTGCTTTATTTGCATACTTTTTTACACTGTGTGAGATCTTCAGCTCTCTCAAAGGAAAAGCTGTCCTTAAGCTATTTAAAGTCTTAAGAAATTATAGGAAAGCTTTAAAAATGTTTCTGATTTGAGAGTATTTGAAATTTATTTTTATAAGATGTTCTTCCTTTGTACTTTGTAGGCCTTTCGTATAAAGGAATGGTTAGTGTTCTAGGAACAATTGTGAAACTAGGCTGGGCTTGATCATTGTTCATTGTTCAGTATGTTCTGCCAGAGTGGGATTGTTACAATATCACTGAAGCCATGGGCTGCCCAGCCTTGGGAAGGAGAACAGGCCTCCCAACTACCTATTGCATCACCATCACTGCCCCTAGAGAGTCTGTCTCTTCAATGCCCATGCTATTAGTAAAGTAGAATTTTCCTTTCATTAAAGCTCTAACATAATTGATGCTGAGTAATTGGTGGTGTTTGCTGTCCTCATCTTTCTGCACTACTTCTATGAGGTCCTTGCTGTCTGGCTAGACCCTTACCCTTGTTGTATCTGGACAACAGTCCACTCTTACCTATGGATCAGCTGTGCTGTCATTTAAAATAAGAATTGTTAGTGTGTAATCAGAGACATTGTGATGATTGGATATGGCAATGCCAGTAAGTGCACGGTAAGCACTTGCTAGCTGTTACCACCACCCTAAATACTGCTACATTCTTTTCTCTTTCTCTCTCTCTTTCATTCTTCCTTTATTTTTAATACATTTTGTATTTTATTTTTATTCCTTTTATTTTATTTTACAATATCATTCAGTTCTACATATCAGCCACGGATTCCCTTGTTCTCCCCCCTCCTGCCCCTCTCCCCTTCCCCCCAGCCCACTCCCCATTCCCACCTCCTCCAGGGCAAAGCCTCCCCTCCAGGACTGAGATCAACAGGTAGACTCAGTCCAGGCAGGTCCAGTCCCCTCCTCCCAGGCTGAGCCAAGCGTCCCTGCATAAGCTTTAGGTTTCAAACAGCCAACTCATGCAATGAGCACAGGACCCGGTCCCA